GAAATACAAAGCATAAACTACAACGTATACTAGCATCACTACAACGTATCCACACAGCATCACTACAACCGATACTACATCCACTACAACGTAACTAGCATCACTAAAAAACGTATACTAGCATCACACAACGTATACTAGCACACTAACAAACTAAATACTAGAACACTACAACGTATACTAGCATAAACTAAACAAGTATAAAAAGCATCACTACAACGTATACTAGCATAAACTACAAACTATACTAGCAACACTACAAAGTATACTAGCATCCAACAACGTATACTAAGCATCACTACAACTTTATACCTAGCATCACTACAACAGTATACACATCACCTAAACGTATACTAGCATCACAACAACGTATAAAAGCACAATAAAACCCGTATATTAGCAATCATCATTAAACGACCTAGATCACTCAACGTTCAATAAACAACTTAGGCATCATTTTTTTACATATTGCCCCGTATATCTAGCATCACTACAACGAAATCAAATTATAATCCTACAACGTATACTGGGTCACTCAACGTAAAACTAAGACACACTCCCCGTTTCTAGATCATCTCAACGTATATCAAAATTCTGCATCACTACAACGTTTCAGCAATCACTACAACGAATATAATCACAAACGTATATAATATTACTAACGTATACTAATACTACAATGTATCCCAATCACTACACGTATATTCATTTCATACCCCGTATACTGATCACTCACGTTTATTACTCACTACAACGTATACTAACCCCTCAACTATACTGTCACTACAACTTATTTTAATTCACTACACGTATATAGATCATTTAAACGTATCTAGTATACACTTCATAAAAAGTTTCATCTCACGTTTTATAGTCATTTCACGTTTTCTAGTATCACTCAACTTATTTAGTATATCCTATTCAGTATCACTGCCACTATTCTATATCCTTCACTTATTCTAGTTCACTCAGTTTTCTAGTATCATCAACGTTTCTAGTATCAAGGGGCCCGTTTTATACACTCACGTTTCTAGTATCACCTCACTTTCTAGTATCATTCACGTATTCTTAGTATCACTTCCTATTCTATTTATGCAACGTATTCTAGTATCACTGCCACGTTTCTATTATACTGCACTTTCTGTATCATCCATTTTTCTTTTTCACTCACGTTTCTAGTATCATTGTATTCTAGTATCACTGTACGTATTTAGTATCACCGTCACGTATTTTATCACTTCGTATTTAGTATACTTCACTTTCTAGTATCACGCAGTATTCTAGTATCACGCACATTACTTAGTATCATTTCACTGTTCTTTTTTCACTGCCACGTTTCTAGTATCACTGAACGTATTTATATCACTGTCACGTATTCTAGTATCACTTCGTATTCCTATTTATACTGTATCGAAATATAAGTATCATCACGCCACGTATTCTAGTATCACGTCACGTATAAATTACACTGCCACGTATTCTAGTATCACCCAACGTATTCTAGTATCACAGCACCGTATTCTAGTATCACTGCAGGTATTAGTATCACTCCCACGTATTCTAGATCACTGTCAGTATTCCTGCCGAATCAATACGGCAAGTATTCTAGTATCACTCAACGTTTTCTAGTATCACTGCACGTTTTCTAGATCACAGCACGTTTTCTAGTATCACTGCACGTATACTAGTATCACTGCACGTATCTAGTATCACTCACGTATTCTAGTATCACTTCAAGTTTCTAGTATCACTGCACTTTATTCTTATCACTAGACTATACTAGAATTCACTCACGTATTCTTAGATCACTCACGTATTAGCAGCAGTTCGAGTATACTGCAGTATTCAAACCCCGTATTTGTTATTACTAGTATCACTCCCACACGTTCTAGTATAAATGTAAAGTATTCTAGTATCACTGTCACGTTTTTTCTAGTAATCACTGTCACTAATTCTAGTATCACTGTCACTATTCTAGTATCACTGTCAACGTATTCTAGTATCACTGTCCAAGTTTTCTAGTACACTGCCACGTATTTAGTATCACTGCCACGTATTTTTATCACGCCACGTATTAGTATCACGCACGTTTGTATCCGGGGGGGGGGGGAAGTATTTGTATCACGTCAGTATTTGTTCACGCACGATTAGTTCACGCACTTTAGTATCACGCACGTATTCTAGTATCACTGCACGTATTTAGTATCACTGCACGTTCAGTATACTGCCCGTTTCTAGATCACTGTAGTATTTAGTTCATGCACGTATTCTAGATCACTGTCAGGTTTTTAAAAGTATCACTGCACGATTCGTATCACTCACGTATCGGGTATCAGCCCGTATTAGTATACTGTCAGTACAGATACTGCACGTATCTAGTACACTGCAGGATAAAGTATCACGCACGTATTTATACCCCCCCCACAGCACGAAAAGGCACGCCGACTATCACGCCGTTTCTAGTTCACTGCCACGAATTTGTATACTGAAAGTATTCTAGGTCACTGCAGTATTCTGTACACTGTCAGGTTTTAGTATCACTGCACGTATTAGTATCACTGTCAGGTTTTAGTACACTGCGGGTTTCTATTCACTGCATGTATTCTAGTATCACTGTCCGTTTTAGTACACTGCACGTATTCGTATCACTGCAGTATCTAGTTCACTGCACGTTTAATTCACGGGTCAGTATTCTAGTATCACTGCAGTATCGGTATCACTGCCGTATTTAGTTCACTGCAGTATTCTAGATCACTGCACGTTCTAGTGTCACGCCACGATTTAGTATCCTGCAGTTTCTATTATCACTGCCACGTATTCTAGTATCCTGAGTATCTAGATCACTGCCACGTATTCTAGTATCATCAACTTGTCAGGTTTTCACCCCCTAGTGTTCACTGCCACGTATTCTAGTATCACTGCCACGTATTCTAGTTCACTGCACGTATTCTATTTATAAATGTCACGTATTCTAGTATCACTGCCACGATTTAGTATCATGCCACGTAATTTCTAGTATCACTGCCACGTATTCTATGATCACTCCCAAACGTATTCTAGTATCACTGCCACGTATTCTAGTATCACTGCCCACGGATATTCTAGTTCACTGCCACGTATTCTATATCACTCCACGTATTCTATTTATCACTGCCACGTATTCTATATCACTGCCACGTTTTCTATATCACTGCCACGTATTTAGTTCATTTGCCAGGGTATATAGAAATCACTCCCACGTATTATAGTATCACTGCCACGTATTATAGTATCACTGCCACGTATTATAGTATCACTGCCACGTATTATAGTATCACTGCCACGTATTATAGTATCACTGCAACGTATTATAGTATCACTGCCACGTATTCTAGTGTCACTGCCACGTATTCTAGTATCACTGCCACGTATTCTAGTATCACTGCCACGTATTCTAGTATCACTGCCACGTATTCTAGTATCACTGCCACGTATTCTAGTGTCACTGCCACGTATTATAGTATCACTGCCACGTATTCTAGTGTCACTGCCACGTATTCTAGTATCACTGCCACGTATTCTAGTATCACTGCCGTATTCTAGTTCACGCCACGTATTATATAACTGCCAAATTCTAGTATCACTGCCACGTATTCTAGTATCACTGCCACGTATTCTAGTATCACTGCCACGTATTCTAGTATCACTGCCACGTATTCTAGTATCACTGCCACGTATTCTAGTATCACTGCCACGTATTCTAGTATCACTGCCACTTTATTATAGTATCACTGCCACGTATTTAGTGTCAGGGCCACGTATTTAGTATCACTGCCACGTATTCTAGTGTCACTGCCACGTATTCTAGTATCACTGCCACGAAATTCTAGAATCAACGGGCCCGTTTTTCTAGTATCACTGCCACGTATTCTAGTAAAAATCACTGCCACGTATTCTAGTACACTGCCACGTATTCTAGTATCACTGCCACGTATTCTAGTATCACTGCCACGTATTCTAGTGTCACTGCCACGTATTATAGTATCACTGCCACGTATTCTAGTGTCACTGCCACGTATTATAGTATCACTGCCACGTATTCTAGTGTCCCCTGCCACGTATTCAGTATCACTTGCCACGTATTCTAGTATCACTGCCACGTATTCTAGTATCACTGCCCGTATTCTAGTATCACTGCCACGAAATTCTAGTATCACTGCCACGTATTCTTATCACAGCCACTTTATTCTAGTATCACTGCCCGTATTCTAGTATCACTGCAACGTATTATATTATCACGCCACGTATTCTAGTATCACTGCCACGTATTCTAGTATAAACTGGCCACGTATTCTAGTATCACTGCCACGTATTCTAGTATCACTGCCACGTATTCTAGTATCACTGCCACGTATTCTAGTGTCACTGCCACGTATTATAGTATCACTGCCACGTATTCTAGTGTCACTGCCACGTATTATAGTATCACTGCCACGTATTCTAGTGTCACTGCCACGTATTCTAGTATCACTGCCACGTATTCTAGTATCACTGCACGTATTCTAGTATCACTGCCACGTATTCTAGTATCACTGCCACGTATTCTAGTATCACTGCCACGTATTCTAGTATCACTGCCACGTATTCTAGTATCACTGCCACGTATTCTAGTATCACTGCAACGTATTATATACAGCATAATATTTTCCTCACTCTCATGCATACGAGTTATTATTAAAATATCTATGTACAAAATATGTGTATTACTCTATAATAAAATTTACTATAATTATTATAACTAATCATTATTGTTATAATTATTATAACTATAGTCATTATTGATGTTACTATTATTTTAATAATAATAATAATATTATTTACCATGACAGTAAATTAAAAGCTGTATGTAATTAGGTTAAAAATATGTAACCTGTACAGTACCTGTCAAGGTGGTTTTAATTCCTGATATGGAGATTAAAGTAAACCTCTATGTATATAATGAAACATACACAGCTCTCGGTGTATTTAATGGTGTGCATTATCCAATACCTTAGGGGGAAGAGGAAACAAATCACAGGTCGGCGGTAGTGTGGACGTTGAGAGAGAAGGCTGCGGTAGTGTCGCCCTTCTTGGAGGTGGCCTTCACTATGTACTGGCCCACATCCGTTGGCAGGCAGCTGGGAATCTCCAGAGTGAAGTCCTTTTTGCCTTCTTGCAGGAACTTGAAGCGCGGCGAACTCTCATCCACAGGCTTGCCGTCCTTGATCCACGACACCTTGAGCGGTTCTTTCTCGAGTTTGACATTGAAAGTAGCCGATTTGCCTTCCATCACCGTCTGCGACCTTGGGAACTTTTGAAAGCTGGTTGTTTCTTCTCTTCTCCTGGGACTGTAGAAAAGAATGCAGCCTTATGTATTAACAGTTTAAAAATAAATATTGTGGGATATGTAATTGCCTAGCTGTGGGAGCGTCCTTCATGACCATGATAATCTGGCGGTCTAGCCCAGTATTAATATGAGAGCAGACAACTCAAGATAGTACTTGTGAAGCTGTAAACTTATACATGATAGTCAGCACAAGCAGCAGTAGAAGATCGATCCTCTGTAAGCTAATCACCTGCCTATTTTTAATAGCTTGCGGAACAACCTAACACGACAAAGAAAGGATAAAATCTATTGCATTGTTAGTTTGAAAAATGCAGCTATGATAAAGCAAATTTTGAAACAAAAGCTACTGTTCCACTGCCCTACTTGGGTATATTTTACAGCTTCCATACTTCATCTATTTCTACACTGTAAGTGACATAGAACAACGACTGTAATTATGGATTTATATGTGTAATTACCGATGACGGTGAGTGTACAGGTGCTGAAAGTTTCGCCTACATCGTTGAATGCTTCACAGGTATAAGTTCCAGCGTCCTCGGGGAAGACCTCGGCAATTTTGAGCAAGTAGTTGTCTCTCTCAGTCACGTATAAGAAGTCTTTGGAAGGCTTGATCTCTTTCTCGTTGTGGAGCCACACCACGTCGAACTTGGAGGCTCCGCCGATCTTACAAGAGAGTGTATGGGAAGTGCCATCCTGGACCTCGTGGGAAATGAGATGCTCTGTGATTCTAGGCAGTTTATCGCCTCGGCCTCCCTTGCCGTTAATCTGCGCCTCCATTGGGGTTATAGAGAGCTTACACTTGGTCTCTGCGGACCCTAGGGAGCTGGTCGCCTTACATACATAAAGTCCTTCGTCTTCTGGGAACACTTCGTTAATGGTGAGGGACGCTAGACCCTGGCGATACTTGAGATCGATGATATCGGAGGAACTGAGAGGTTCTCCGTCCTTGAACCAAGATACTTGAGGTTCTGGGTCACCCTTGACGGTGCACTTAAGGCACAAAGCTTCACCATCCTTAATAGAGAGAGTTTTGGGCAGCTCTCCAGAGAAGCCGGGAGGACCCATCAAGGAATCATCCGGGGGCACTGTAAATCAATAAACTGTGTCAACAAAAATAAATTTTAGCTCATCATCTTATGTTACGCGTTCTAGCACCCCAAGACCAGTAACATACTTAATATTTACAACTGTTTACCTACCATGATCATCGGTTACCCTTGCTGATCTTCCAGATGAGGTACCTTCACGAGCGATCCAGTGAGTAGTTTCCAACGCCACCCGACAGTTAGAACCTCCATATATAGCATAAAGAATAATATATACAAGCAACGATGTCTACCATTATTTTGTCACTACCGCACACACTATCACACACACCCCTACACTATCACACCCCCACACTATTACACCCCCCACACACACAATCACACACACTCCCACACTACCACACCCCCCTCACACATCACAACACACCCTCCCACTATCACACACACCCTAACATTATCACACACACACATCCACACACACACACACACACACACACACACCCTCCCCTCAATACGCATCCTCACACTACCACATACATCCTCACACTATCGCACACATATCACAGACACAACCACACTACCACACACACCTACACTATCATCATACTAGTAGCAAAGCTACTAGTCATGGGTGATTTCAATCACAAGGAGATTGATTGGGAAAATCTGGACCCACATGGGGGTCCCGAAACATGGAGAGCCAAGATGATGGATGTGGTACTGGAAAACCTCATGCATCATCATGTTAGGGATACTACCAGAGAGAGAGGTGAGGATGAAACAGCAAGACTGGACCTCGTATTCACCCTGAGTAGTTCGGACATCGAGGACATTACATATGAAAGCTCCCTCGGAGCTAGTGATCATGTGGTTCTGAGCTTTGAATACGTAGTAGAGTTACAAGTGGAAAGAGCAACAGGAGTAGGATGGGGGAAGCCAAACTACAAAAGGGGAGACTACACAGGCATGAGGAACTTCCTGCAAGAGGTTCAGTGGGAACGAGAATTGGTAGAAAAATCAGTAAACGAAATGATGGACTACGTGACAACAAAATGCAATGAGGCAGAGGAGAGATAAGTTCCCAAGGGTAACAGAAATAATGGGAAGACCAGAACATGCCCTTGGTTTACCCAAAGGTGCAGGGAGGCAAAAATTAGGTGCGCCAGAGAATGGAAAAAGTACAGAAGACAAAGGGCCCAGGAAAATAAAGAGATTAGTCGAAGAGCCAGAAACGAGTATCCACAGATAAGAAGGGAGGCCCAGCAACAGTACGAAAACGACATAGCATCGAAAGTCAAGTCTGACCCGAAGATGCTGTATAGCCACATCAGGAGGAAGGCAACAGCCAAGGACCAGGTATTCAAACTAAGGAAGGAAGGTGGGGAACTCACAAGAAACGACCAGGAAGTATGTGAGGAGCTCGACATGAGATTTAAGGAAGATTTACAGTGGAGACAGAAAGGGCTCTGGAAAGTCAGAACAGGAGGGTACACCAACAAGGGATACACCAACAAGTGCTGGATGAGATACAACTGAGGAGTAGGTGAAGAAGCTGCTAAACGAATTTTATACCTCAAAGGCGGTGGGATCGGACATGTCTCCGTGGGTCCTTAGAGAGCGAGCAGAGATGCTGTTTGTGCCACTAACAACAATTTTCAACACATCCATTGCAACTGGATACCTGAGGTATGGAAGGCGGTAAATGTAGTCCCCATTAAACTACAGACCAGTGTCACTGACGTGTACAGTATGCAAAACCATGAAGAAGATTGTCAGGAGGAGAGTGGTGGAACACCTAGAACGGAATAAGCTTATGAACGACAACCAGCACTGATTCAGGAAAGGAAAATACTGTCACAAACTTACAAGAGTTTTATGACAAGGTAACTGCAGTAAGACACGAGAGAGAGAGGGGCGGCTAGACTGCATTTTCTTTGACTGCAAGAAGGCCTTCGACACAGTTCCTCACAAGAGGTACGTGACGAGGTGTCAATGGGAGTCTGTGACGAGCGGGGTTCCACAGGGGTCAGTCCTAGGGCCAGTACTATTTTTGGTATATGTGAATGACATGATGGAAGGGATAGACACATTAGTGTCCCTGCTTGCAGATGATGTGAAGCTAATTAGGAGAATTAAATCGGATGAGGATCAGGCAGGACTACAAAGAGACCTGGACAGGCTGCAAGCCTGGTCCAACAACTGGTTCCTCGAATTTCACCCCGCCATATGTAAAGTCATGAAGATCGGGCAAGGGCAAAGAAGACTGCAGACAGAGTATGGGCTAGGTGGCCAAAGACTGCAAACCTCACTCAAGGAAAAGGATCTTGGGGTGAGTATAATACCGAGCACACCTGAGGCGCAGCATATGGGCGCCTGGCAAACCTGAGAATAGTATTTCGATACAGTGTACACCGTGTACGTCAGGCCCATACTGGAATATGCAGCACCAGTTTGGAACCGACACCTGGTCAAGCACGTCAAAAAAATAGAGAAAGTGCAAAGGTCTGCAACAAGACTAGTTCCAGAGCTAAGGGGAATGTCCTACTAAGAAAGGTTAAGGGAAATCGGCCTGACGACACTGGAGAACAGGAGGGCTAGGGAAGACACGAGAACATATAAAATACTGCGAGGAATTGACAAAGTGGACAGATACACGATGTTCCAGAGATGGGACACAGAAACAAGGGGTCACAGTTGGAAATTGAAGACTCAGATGAGTCAAAAAGATGTTAGGAAATATTTCTTTAGTCATGGAGTTGTAAGGAAGTGAAATAGTCTGGCAAGCGACGTAGTGGAGGCAGGAACCATACATAGTTTTAGGACGAGGTATGTTAAAGCTCATGGAGTAGGGAGAGAGAGGACCTAGTAGCGACCAGTGAAGAGGTAGAGTCAGGAGCTGTGAATCAACCCCTGCAACCACAAATAGGTGAGTACACACACACACTAACACACGTAGTAAACAGTGACCCTCTCATAACGCCTCACCCCTGCGCGTCTTCCCCGCCTCACCCACCCAACTCCCAGCGTCACCCCATCTGTAGAGGGTACTTCTCCCCTAACCCACGATGTCAGCGATGGCACTGCAGGGAGTGCCGGGCTCACAGGAACTTCCACTACAGGGACAGCATCGTGGAGTTCGACCGCGAGGCAGCTGTCAGGTGTGCCACAGGCAGTGTGTACTCAGTTCCTCAAGCTTCAACATCAGTGCACACGAGGGCCTGGGATCTTCAATCAACTTGGCGTCCACCAGGACGCTGACATGTCCCTAGGGGAGCTCTCCATCGGGCTGCTAACGGGAGTCCTGGCTTCTTGGACCTCTTGGGGAGGGTCGATGGTGCTCGTGCAAGCAGCAGATCCCGGGGCAACTTACTGCTGTTTGCAATGGCTGTCTACCGAGGAGAGACAGGCACCTAGCAACATCTGTTGTTGGGGCAATGGATGAATTCCCTACTATGTTTGTTAACTGCTCATTACTCTGTAATTTGTCTATGATTGTAATCATGTCATAACGTGTTTATCATTCATTACCTTTGAAACTTGTCATGATTTTGACCAGCTCTACCTGGAGCTCATTACCTTTGTAAATTCTCATGATTATTGTGTTTATGATTCATTACCTTTGCAATTATTCATGAGTATGACCAGCTCTACCTGGAGCTCATTACCTTTGTAACTTGGTCATGATTATGTCCAGATCTAGTTCATTACCTTTGTAACTTGCTTAGCTATCAAAACTTTGGAGTCCAGTCCCTGGACCAATTATGTACCTCTGTAATCTTTTGACTACCGCCCACAGGATGGGTATGGGGTGCATAATAAACTAACACTAACACACCCCCACACTATCACACACACCCCCACATTATCACACACACACCCACACTATCACACACACACCCACATTATCACACACCCCCACACTATCACACACACACACATACACATTTACTTTACCCCACATCACACACACACCCACACTATCACACACCCACACTATCACACACACACACACACCCACATTATCACACACACACCAACATTATCACACACACACCACATTACCCACACACACACATATCACACACCCACACTATCACACACACCCCCACATTATCACACAACCTACACAACACATTATCACACAACAACCCCCACATTATCACACAACACCTACACTATCACACACACACACACACACCCACATTAACACCACACATCACACACACCACCACTATCACATATACCCTACACATCCACACCCTCATTATAATTCTCACACATCAAGCCAACATTGTCATACATCTACATTGTCAAACCTCCCACCTCACCAGTACACTGTCACAACCGCAAACTGTCGCACCCCCACACTGTCAACCCCCCATTCCAAAGCACTCCCGCTATCACACCTTTACACTTACACTCTCACGCTGTCGCACCTTACACTCCTACACTCTCACACTCTTACACTGTCATACTAATGCACTGTCACACTCCTACACTGTCACACTAATGCACTGTCACTAGCTCACACCTAAGGCACCTACACTCACACTAATGCACTGTCACGCTTCCACATTGTCACACTAATGCACTGTCACACCTACACTCTTACACTCATGCACTGTCACACTAATGCACTGTCACGCTCCTACATTGTCACACTCCTACACTGCCACAGGCCTAAACTGTCGCACTACTACACTGTCACACTCCTACAGTGCCACATCCTACACTGCCGCATCCTACACTGCCACACTCCTACACTGTAACACTCCTACAGTGCCACACTCTACTCTGCCACATCCTACTCTGCCACATCCCCACACCATCACACCCTAAATTGTCACATTAAGTTAGAACTCCAATCTGTTACACCCTACGCTGTCACACCCAACACTGTCGGAACCTCAACACTGTCACACCAACACGCTGTCACACCTTATACTATCATACCCTACACTGTTGCACCCTCACGCTGTCACACCCTACATTGTTAGAACTCCACACTGTCACACTCTACACTGTCACATGATACAATGTCACACACTGCAATGTCACACGTTGCACTGTTACACTCTACAATGTCACACGCTACAATGTCACACGTTGCACTGTCACACGCTACAATGCCACACGTTGCACAGTTACACTCTACAATGTCACACGCTACAATGTCACACGTTGCACTGTCACACGTCTAACTGTCACTACGTTGCCACATTACACTCTACAATCACACGCTACAATGTCACACTAGTTGCATCTGTCACACGCTACAATGTCACACGTTGAACAGTTACACTCAACTGTCAACAATGTCACACGCTACAATTCACACGTTGCACTCTCACGCTACAATGTCACACGTTGCACAGTTACACTCTACATTGTCACACGCTACAATGTCACACGTTGCACAGTTACACTCTACAATGTCACACGCTACAATGCCACACGTTGCGCAGTTACACTCTACAATGCCACACGCTGCAATGTCACACTGCAGCACTGTACCACTATGAATCCATTGCGTTCTGGCCTCCACAAAACAACAGCAATGTTTCTACACTACTGTATGTTGAGCACCGACGCTCCTTATATTAGAGATGAAAGCTAACCATTTTTACCAGTAATATTATAATATATGTAGGTTAACCTTTTAAGATTATACAAACCCATTCACTGGGTATAGACACATCGATTGAAATTTTAATATAAAATCAAGGTCAAATATATTACCATTTGTTTTCGTATAAAGACAATGATCTGTTGAGTTTCTATTGTTAGTTCAAGGTTTAAACTGTCTCTTAGAAGAGCAATTACAATCAAGGTTCAAATTTCAATACATAATCTCCTCACAATTCTTAATTGAGATATTTATATATAACTTAATTGAGATAACTATTTATATATAACTTAATTGAGATAACTATTTATATATTAATTAATAAACTTAATTGAGCATATAAACTATATATATATATAACTTAATTGAGATAACTATTTATATATAACTTAATTGAGATAACTATTTATATATAACTTAATTGAGATAACTATTTATATATAACTTAATTGAGATAACTATTTATATATAACTAAACTGAGATAACTATTTATATATAGCTTTGGAAATACTAAATCTGGTCGATTTTTATCGATGTTAATATTGTTAGAACTATCCTAGGGTAGTGTACCTTGCAGTGACTGTCTGAAGGCTCATATACAAAGATATTAAAGTATTTTATATATATTATGTATACTTGCATTGCAGTTATAATGACTCATTTTAAATCATTCACCCAAGAAATTCAGATTCACTGACTCACTGACTAGACTCAGTTTGCAGGTACTTACACTCCAGCTCCTTGGTGGCTGAGCGGGACCTGGAGGTAGAGCCCGTGGAATCTTGCCTCTTGCCGTAGGGTTTGAGAGTTCTCTTGGCCCCAGAGGTGGTTGAGGCGGTGGTGGAGGAGGCAGAGGAGGCCTCGACCTTGGTAGTGGTGGTACCACGAGCATCCTGGCGAGTCGAGGTACTAGTAACAGCGATGGTCGCCGCTGACTGTCTCGTCAGTGTGTGTGGTGTCGTTGATGTTTGAGTGTGTATGAGAGTAAGAATGTGAAAATATAGGAAAGAAAGAGAGAGAAAGAGAGAGAGAGAGAGAGAGAGAGAGAGAGAGAGAGAGAGAGAGAGAGAGAGAGAGAGAGAGAGAGAGAGGAGAGAGAGAGAGTGGGAGAGGATGGTGGTTTCGTTATTAACGATGTTTTACGAAAGTAGATGTTAACATAGTGGGTTAATTGTGGTTGACGTGGTAGTAGCAGTAATGACGTTGTATTGGTAGCAATGTGGTATTTGTAGTGAGGTGGGGATTGTGGTGGGGCGATGGTGGTGGAAGTGTTGGTGTAGTGTTAAAGTAGGTGTGGTAGTTGTATGTTGGTAATGGTGATGTAATAATGGTGGTATGGGGGGGGGGTAATTGTGTAGTATTATCAGCAATATGGTTTAAAGGTAGGGATAAACGGGGTATTAGTAGTGCGGTAGTGGTATGGTAATAATATTTAGTGGTAATATGGAGGAGGTGGTGAATGATGTGGTAATGGTGATAATTGTGGCGGTGGTGGTAACAGTTGTAATTGTCGTAGTGGTGGTAACAGTTGTAATTGTCGTAGTGGTGGTAACAGTTGTAATTTTCGTAGTGATGGTAACAATTGTAATTGTCGTAGTGGTGATAATTGTCGTAGTGGTGATAATTGTAGTAGTGGTGAGCCAATACGTACATAACCACCAATGAATTAATTACAGCAGCAGCAGCAGCAATGATAACGAGAAAGCATAAGCATCGGCAGCGTTGATGGTAGCAGTGGTGGTAGCAGTGGTGGTAGCAGTGGTGGTAGCAGTGGTGGTAGCAGTGGTGGTAGCAGTGGTGGTAGCAGTGGTGGTAGCAGTGGTGGTAGCATGGGATGGTAGGGGGGGAAACAGTGGGAAAGAGTAGAAGTGGTTGTCGCAGTGGTAGTACAATGAGTTTATAAAATTAAAAAGGATCAACAGACAATGTTACCGTATTAAAAAATTACTAACAATAAACAAAGAAATGTATTAAAATACAACAGATCTTTATCTAAAAATCAATAAAACCAAAAATACAACAGAAAGTTTCGTAAAAAACTATTAACCAAACAATAACAACAGACAACTGTTACTCGTAAACAATAACAACAGACAACTGTTACTCGTAAACAATAACAACAGATAACTGTTACTCATAAACAATAACAACAGACAGCTGTTACTCGTAAACAATAACAACAGAGAGCTGTTACTCGTAAACAATAACAGACAGCTGTTACTCGTAAACAATAACAACAGAGAGCTGTTACTCGTAAACAATAACAACAGACAGCTGTTACTCGTAAACAATAACAACAGACAGCTGTTACTCGTAAACAATAACAACAGACAGCTGTTACTCGTAAACAACAACAGAGAGCTGTTACTCGTAAACAATAACAACAGACAGCTGTTACTCGTAAACAATACCAACAGACAGCTGTTACACGTAAACAGTAACTATAGACAACTGTTACACGTAAACAACAACAGACAACTGTTACACGTAAACAACAACATACAACTGTTACTCGTAAACAATAATAACAGACAACTGTTACAAATAAACAACAGACAACTGTTACACGTAGACAATAACAGACAACTGTTACTCGTTAACAATAGCAACAGACAAATGTTACACGTAAATAATAACAATAGACAAGTGTTACTCGCAAACAATAGCAACAGACAACTGTTACACGTAAACATTAACAACAGACAACTGTTACACGTAAACAATAACAGACAACTGTTACTCATATACAATAACAACAGACAACTGTTACAAATAAATAACAGACAACTGTTACACATAAACAATAACAACAAACAACTGTTACACGTAAACAATAACAAACTACAGAAACAGGAAACTATCAACAATTGAAAGAAAAGAAATAAAAAGAATAAGAGCTGCAGGTAAACATCACTTAGTGAGTTATCCTTCCAGGTCTGCCTTCATGGGCTCTTCATCCATGGAACTGGAGCCGCCTTATTTTTCCATGGATCTAAAGTATTTTACTTTCATTCCCCAGGCCATGTGTGTACACTATGGCCTTAGTGCTTTCAAATAATAATAATAATAATAATAATAATAATAATAATAATAATAATAAAATAATATTAAAGTAAAAGAAGAAGAAAATAATAATAATAATAATTAGTGGAACAATAACCAATCATAACAAAATTATTTTTGTTTAAAAATGTCAATATAATTATTATTATTATTATTATTATTATATTTTATTATAATTGTTGCTATTATTCTACGCATTAATTCCTTTTATATTTATGGGAAGCGATAAGCCCGTGCGGGTCATACAGTGCGTGGAGAAATAAAAGGAACGCTGTCAAATTTGATCCATGGAAAAGGCTAACTGATCCGATATCTTTGATGAAGAGCTCCTCACCAGGATCATGGAGGATCACTGGAAGGATCGCTGGTGCAATATTTCCTAATAATTAATCAGATCACGAAAATAATCTAATTTATATTAATCATTACCAACCAAATTTAGGCTGACCAAAATATACGTTGGGTAGTTAAGAAGCTAAGTTATTTGACGTTATTTTTTTGCAAATAGGTTATTAGCTGCGAAAAATAAAGAAATGTTTGGTAAACAGGTTTATAATGTGGAAACGTTAGGCTCTGTAGAGATTTATCAAAGGTGCAGCAACCAAAGTAACAACCAAAGTAACAACCAAAGTAACAACCAAAGTAATAAGCAAAGTAATAACTTTGCTCTTCAAGCGTAGCTAATCGTCTCCAATGTAAACAATAGGCCACTGGAATCCAGGCTTTTGGGTTTTATTGCACTTGCTAATGTATATAATAGAGAATTGTTTGAAAACATATATTTACAGGGCATCTGGGCTTGTTTGACGGGTCACAAGTTATAAAAAAAAATTCAGCAAATGCTTATAATCCATACAATTATAATCAAATCTACAGTCATAATGCACACCTCTCTTCTCTCTCTCTCTCTCTCTCTCTTCTCTCTATATATATATTATATATATATTATATTATATATATTATATATATATATATATTTATATATATATATATATATATTATTTGTAGCACACTGGCCGATTCCAAGGGCAGGGTGGCCCGAAAATGAAAAACTTTCACCATCATTCACTCATCACTGTCTTGCCAGAGGGGTGCTTTACACTACAGTTTTTAAACTGCAACATTAACACCCTCCTTTCAGAGTTCAGGCACTGTACTTCCCATCTCCAGGACTCAAGTCCGGCCTGCGGTTTCCTGAATCCCTTCATAATGTTACTTTGCTCACACTCCAACAGCACGTCAAGTATTAAAAACCCCTTTGTCTCCATTCACTCCTATCAAACACGTTCACGCATGTTTATATATATATATATATATTATATATATATATATATTATATAATATATATATATATATATATATATAGTGGGGGTGATGGCAGTGGTGGTAGTGGTAGTGTTAATGGTGATGGTAAGGGTGGTGATGGTAGTGGTGGTGATGGTAATGGTGGTGATGAAAGTGGTAGTGATGGTAATGGTGGTTATGGTAGTGGTGGTGTATTGTAGTGGTGGTGATGGTACTAGTAATGGTGGTGGTGGTAGAGTGGTAGAAACACTGACCTTGTGTGTGGAACTGAAGTAGCTCGAGTCATCTACTCTTATTGCGGGCGTGGGCGGGGGTGGTAGGTCCTTGATCGTCGTTTCTATATACCTTCGATCTGTTTGTGGGGGCGTGGGAGTAAGTTTGGGTGTGGGTGTGGGTGTGGGTGTGGGAGTGCCCATGTGGACATTAGGAAGTTACGAGGGAAGAGAAAGAAACGGCATTAAACCAGTGCTGTACAACCCAGTACACCAGTGCATGAGCTCCTTACAAACCAGTACACCAGTGCATGAGCTCTTTACAAACCAGTACACCAGTGTATGAGCTCTTTACATCACAGTACACAGTGCATGAGCTCTTTACAACCAGTACACAGTGCATGAGCTATTTACAACTCGATACACCAATGTATCAGCTCTTTACAACCCAGTACACCAGTGCAACCCAGTTCACAAATACATGAGCTCTTTGCAACTCAATTCACAAATACACCAGCTCTTTGCAACCCAGTATTTAGTAAATGAGAGTGATTACTTATCTTCGTTCTTTAATGTTGTTTATCTAGAGTCTTGGAAAATGTTAAATAACAAGTACCTAAATAAATGATTAGGTAAACATAGACAGGTAAACTGTACACGTTGGAGAGTTGTGTCATTCTGTGAACCAATAAACGCCTTTCACAATGGTTTTAAAATGTACAAGTGCTAAGAACAAAGGCAAAAGAGTGCACACACTAAGGACAATAACAAAAAAGTAATATATATATAAAGAAAAACAACTAACAACTCGAACAAACCTAAGAAAATGCAACATTCAGGACTCATCCACAACGTAAGGGTAATTTGTGTTTCCACACCTGCTGTGCTCTTTTTGTTGATTCTTCAGCTGCTTGTTTACTATTAGTGCGAAAGTGATAAGCTAAACAAGGAGACTTTAATTATAGAATAAAAGAAATGTTAATCCTTCAAAACACGCCTTGCATGTGGCGTTATTCATCCATCTGGACAGTGTACAGACGCGGCATACTACTTTAATGAACAAAGCAATGGTGGATGCTTAATAATGGGACATATCATGGGGAAACAGTAGCATAATTCTGAACATCAGAATTATGCTACATTCGGAACATGTGAGGATGAAGGCAATCTGTGGAAAGAGAAGGAAGAGTGAGGTGGAGAGGGGTGGAAAGTAGGTAGGGGATGAAGAGTGTGAGAAGAGTGGAGAGGTGGAAATGAAGGGAAAAAGGGAAGATGAGATGATGGTTGAAGAGGGAAAGGGTGGACGAAGGCGGTAGTTAGATGGTACAGAGGTAGAGAATGGAAGGAGAGAGTGAGACTGAAGAGGGAGAGAATGGAAGGAGAGAGTGAGACTGGAGAGGGAGAGAATGGAAGGAGAGAGTGAGACTGGAGAGGGAGAGAGTGAACCGGTAGAAAGTGAACAGGGAGAAGGTAGAGAGGGTAAAGGTGGATTCACTAGGTGTCTCGGTTTTCTTTAAGTTTAGTAAGGTGTATTATCTTGATGTTTCACTTTGTTTCTGGACCGTTACGAACCAAACGAAGAAAAAAGGAAGGATCGACGACATCCGTAATACAAGACGTCAGTGCAAGGTGTTTACATGCTACAACAATCATTACACCAGAGCGAAGTCACAAAGGTTCATCACTAAGCACCTAGCCGGTCCTTATTTCAAATTCTGTTATGTCTAATGTTTTTTGTAACTTGCACCCATGAAATATCTATGGCTATTACAAAAATATAATTTTACCTCGCAAAGAATTTCATAAATACTTTCAAGCTCTATCAAACACACACACACGTCTTGTCAAATGAGGAAGGGTTAAGGTCGAAATAAAAAAAAAAATAGCGTTGGACGTCAGGATGTTACGAAAAGAAAATAAATTAATTAAAATCAACCAAAATTAGGTATAATATCAAGGTTTCAATTCCCAGGTGCCAACATGCACTGGCACTAGTAAAATGTGACGTAATCAGGCGTGATTCCTGAAGCCACGAGCACAGTTCACTGATACCAGATGAGACAACACACCACGAGTATTCACTGATAATGGATATATATATAACCACACACCACTCGATAAGGTTAGGCTCACAACACTTGGATTTAAAAAAGCATTACCTTCACTTGATAGATTCTTTAGTAGGCGAGTCTGTTCGTCTGTTACCTCATTACCTTCATTTTAAAGCAGGAGAGAAAAGTTTATGTTAAACAAGCAGTTTACAAAACGGTGTTTAGTATTTATAAAACGCCTGGGTGGTGGGTGAGAGGGTGGCAATAGCATGCTAAACTACCGTACCCTTATGGGAGGGGGTGGGTTCAGTGCGCTTTATACAACGCACAAAGAATTTATCAGAGTCGTGAACAGTGATGAGATGTTTACAAAAAATAGGAAAATAAAAATATTCCCGTGTAAAAGCGTATATATGCGTGTATATATATATATATATTATATATATATATATATATATATATATATATATATATATATATATATATATATATATATATATATATATATATATTATATATATATATTCATTAGTATTGGATTTTTATGGTATTTATCACGTAATTTTAATTTAATTTTATATAAATTAGGGACTTTCATTAATCAACAAAAATGAAGATAAAAAAAATCTTCGTAACACGCATTAGGAAGTGCGCCAAAAATAGGGAATTCGAAATATTTGGAATAGGATAAAATGTGATTTACTATTTCTCAACTCTTTATCGCTCAGGACATGGATTTTTATGCTGTTATATGAACACTGGTCCATGTGAGAATTATGAATAACCCTGTCAGGTTATTGCATAGTTCCCTATGGCTACACGCAGGCCAGCAGGCACCGGGAGACAAGTATCAAAGACCCCCATACAGGCGGGCGTAACGGACCAGCTGATGCACTATGTTTAGAGAAGCTTTAGCCATACAATGCTGCAGAAGTAGCCCGGGGATCACAGTGCCTACAGTGCGAGCCACACAAAGGCGATCATCCCGAATACAACCAAATGAGCTTCAATGTCACATGTGAGGTTGTACAGAGTGAGGCTTCCGATGTAGTGTATGTGGCTAGGGATGTAATTAGCGTGCGTCTGGGAGATACACCACATTTACATAAAACTTGGTCATACATGGTGTTTAGATAAGGAGAACCTTATACTACTGCTTGAATTATGTATAAAGCGTATACTCATAATATCTAATATTTTTTTTTTATAACTGTACTTGGTCACAGTATAATGCAAGATGAGCTCGGGTGGTTGGTGGAACAAAGTGCGGTACAATATCACTTTACTGCACCCCTGTATTGTCACTGTAGTTCATGAGGGACTCCCTGTGGACTCTACATTACATGAGTCTCCACATACTGCACGCTTCCCTCACACGCACTCATTATTGTTTCCTCTACACTACATACAACCTTCTCCCCATCACTGCACAAGTGGTTGTACCCGGGCTCCAGTACACACTGTGTCCCCGGCTTTACCTGAGAACTTCAGATTAGTCATCAGGGTCTTCTGTTCCTGGGTCCGATCTCCGACGCCTTTTAGAAGAAATCAAATGCCAGTTTACTGTCATGTATTATTGGGAAGAGAAAAGTGTCAATACAATGGCCACAAAGCTGCCCCAGTTTGTTATTAAAATGAAAAGCAATGTTATTTAAAAGCATAAAAACATATTTTAAGTATGAATCTTTAACCAAAAGATGAACTCTTTGAATAGGTTACACAAAAGCTCAGCTTCGTAAGAAAGCAAATTTCGAAGAACATTACTAATTCGCAGATATTTTCTCTCATAAGTATTGCTTCAAAGCGAGAATGTTAGCTGCTCTCGACGCCGTAAAAATAAAACTTATTATCAAATTAAATTAAGATAAGCTCAGACTCTGACAACACGTTGATAATGTTAGAGTGCAACTTAAGATAAGAACTGTGTGTGAGACTTGTCACTTAATTAAGTGACAAACTTGCGGACTCTACTGCTCTACGCTGCTCTTGTGGCTCAAAATACACTAACAAAAACTACGATAATGTAATACTCTCTAGAACTGCATTAGTGTTCTTAAATATAGTGTTATTTTTTTCTGCATTACAAGAATATCAAAATAAGATTTCAACTGATTAGCCATCACACTATATTCTTAACAATAAAATTCTGATGAACATTGTAGGCTAACTTAAATGGATATCATTGAACATATTTCATAAATATAAAATGTCAATATTTCATGGATTATGGAGTCAATATTTGAACAAAAGCCCCATAAAATGGGAAGTAGCAGTGCACATACCTTCAACTATAACAACACAGGATGTCTCATCTGTGCCCAGAGAATTAGTAGCCACGCATCTGTATTTGCCAGAGTCTGATGGTTTGCAGTTGACTATTTCGATGGTGACCACACCGTCGGCGTGGCTCATGGAATAGTCAAACTTGGAGAGCTCCTGAGTTCCCTTGAACCACTTGACCGTGGGGACGGGCTTGCCAGCGAGACAACAGAGGAGTTTACAAGTTTGGTGGCATTGAATGACACGAGGCCGGAGCAGGAAAGTGAAGCTCGGCGCTCCCTCACCCTCCTCCTGCCACAACTTGTACGTCAGAGGCTGTCTTCGACGGATGATCTGTTCTTGAGGTCTGTATGGTGGAACCTCCGGAGGGAGAGCTGCCACCGAGAAGAAAAAGAGAGCTATATTTTACCCGATAAGAGCTAATTTTACCCATAAAATTTATAATATTGTTGATTATGCAACATGAGTCCAAAATGATAATCGAGTGAGAAAATGTATAGATTAATGTAATAATTAAGAGACACATTTCTATACAAAACAATTATACTGCAGTTTGCTTAACCGAATCTGCAATGACTGAGCTGACATGAACTATGAAGAAATGACCATAACAATGAAGAAAAAAAGGAATAAAGACAGTGAACAAAGTTGCCAATTAGAAAGACTCACGCTGGACGTTGAGGAAGACGGGTTCCTCCCTGGCACCGTAGTGATTCTCCGCTCGGATAATGTACTCGCCGCGGTCGTCTAGCTTGACACGGTTGATAACGAAGGAGTAGTCTTCGCCCGAGTATCTCTTCATGTACTTGACAGACTGTCTAAGCTCCATGTTGTTGTGGAACCAGCAGACGGTGGGGGCAGCCACGGCCACGATGCGGCACGAGAACTTGACGCTCTGGCCTTCGTAAGTGAAGGCGTTCTGTGGCCGGATGACGAACCTTGGTGCACACTGTCGTCGGTCTGTGGGTACACAACCGGTTTCATCATCTGTCAACCAATAATCCTTTATGCTATGTCCTCAACATTACTCTCATTACTGTAGGTAAAGGTGTCTGTATTTTATAGGATACCGGAGAGCTAAGAGTAAGAGTGCTGAAAGATATATTGGATTAGCGCTGAATTGTGAGCACAATATTAATTCTAATTCTCATACTGAATAATAATAATAATAATAATAATAATAATAATAATGCAAAAATAATAATAACCATCAAAACGTTGACATAATAACCAGCTAGTATCCAATATAGTATCCAATACTGTGCTTACCAGAGATACAGAATCACAATATATAGCTTAAGAATATATGGTTTTTGTGTAAAAATAAAATATTGCAGCAACAACAAGTGTTTTATTATATGTAGGTTGCATAACCCACATTACTCCTTAATGTTTTTGCATAATATTTTTTGTACCTGCAATTATTTTCGTGTAGACTGAATAAAAATTGAAAAATAAACGAAGCCTATGACTGTACGTCAAAAGGAAAAGTGTTAGTAAACATAAATAACCAGAGAAATGGGTGAGAAGACTGTTGGAAAATTGCTGTACCGTGTGGATCATTCATTCCATCCGCTGTTTGCTAATCGCGGCAAATATGGATGACTAAAAGGAACTCACCGAAGTGCGTATCGTGTATCCTGTATTTGTCCAGCTGCTTTTTTCTGGGAGGAATTTTCCCGCGATACGACCAAGGGGCAAGAGGAATTTCCCCCCATCCTTGTACTTGGCACGGATTTTATCGGGATGGGAATGTAACGCTCATATCGATGGGCCCCAGCGAGGGAGTATCACCACCAGCCAGCGTGCATTAAAGCCTCGTGCGTGTATCTTTTCCTGTACGAGGCAAAGAGGATACCTTGCGTCAGTGTAAATGTAGCGGGTTATGGGAGGGGGTTGACGTAATGGGGGAAAGGGATATGTGTACGATAACTTGGGATGTGAGTGGAAAAGTTTTAGTCGTGTAAGACGAAGAAAGGGAGTTACACGAGTTGGTATGCAAGAGGGAAGCTTAGGACCTTCTCGGAACAGCAAGAGACCACAGTCCCTCAGAGGAGGGGGAAAGAAGAGGGGAAAGGTACCTTCTTCATGTTTTAAGGACTTTTTGTCGAAGTGGAATGAGGGGGAAAATTTTTTGTTGAAAAATTCACCCTGACTAAGCTGAACAACCCGTATCTAAAAGAACAAAAATAACTTGTCTGGAAACTTAAAATGTTGAAGGACGTATATAATAGCAAATTTCGTAGATACTTGAATCAAAGAAGATTTTAGTTTAAAATAACTTAGAGGGAAAAGGGATATCATCTTTTTCTTAATGAGAAGAGGGCGGATGAAATTTTTTGGCCTCATTAAAAACATTACTAAGGGGCTTCTTCATCGAACCCCCAGTCAAGGCCTTGCGTTTTTGGGGGTTTTTCGATATCATTCTCCCCAGCGAGGGCGAGAGACCACTGAGGAGAACGTAAGCTAAAACCCCCACTCCCACATATCCGTGTAGAAACCAAGGGGTTCACGTTTCTACGATCTTTTGGAGCACAAACTCTGCGTGCCCGTCGGTCTTCACGACCTCTTTGGGGTTTGTTTGGTCGCTACCCGAAGTCGATGAGTTTTCGGGTGGGATTTTGGTTTTGACACATGAGTTTTCGGGGTTTAAGCTGCGGGGAAAAAAGGGAAATGGACGTCAAATTCGTATTTTTTGGATTTTGTATAGGAAAAGCTTCTGCAAGAAATGAATGATAAAAAAAAACTTTAAAACTGATTATTACCTTCTGAAGATGAAAGGCAAACCTGGGCCTTCGCCCAGAAACCGTCCCCTTGTCAGGACTATGCTTTGCAGTGGGTAGGTAAGGGGCACGAATTAGCGGAAAAGGGTAAGTGTGGACTGATCACGGGCGCAATACGAAGGACCAAAAGCTTGTTCAGTTCATTTTCCCCTGTGGTTTTTTTGATTTGTTTTTTTATGGCTCTTTTTACGACTCTCTTCCCTGCGCACACAAAGAACGCACACACACACACACACCCACACCACACACACACACAACACACACACACAACATATATATATATATATATATATTTATTTATATATATATAATATATATATATATTTTAAAAATTTAACACACAGGTTTTTGTGCAACAAAATTTGGAATGAAAAAACAGGTAAAAAAAACACAAGTAGCAGCATTTCCACCCCCATAAGAACAACACTGAACACCCGACAAAAAAACCACTCTTTTTTTTGGAATGTTTCCAAAGCCACCAGCTGCGACAAGCATGTTCTTACAGAAATCTCATGAACCGCACATGACGGAGTGTACTAGATTCGAAAGTATTGATGTGGAATATTGTAGATCGTCATGTACAGTGAACAGCTGTGGCATGTGTTTTGACTCGTGCCTCATTGTATATTTAATTATGGGGAATTCTGTGGGAGTCTAAATACAATTTCATTTCCCTTTTGTTTCTTTTGTATATATGTTATGAGATGAAATTCAGATGGACAAGAGTCATTACACTTTATTTATCATTTTTATTGGGATTGAATTCTGTGGGATTTCGGATTGTTGTTTTTTATGCAATGATTTGAAAAATAGACTAAATCTGAATCTGAGATATATATTATATATATATATATATATTTTTAAATTATATATAAAATATTATATATAAAATTTTTAATTATATCAAAATAGCTTTTTTTGGGGTTCAACCCTCCCCCAGCACTTGTTTACATTTTGTACAAAAAATTTTTTTTTTTTCCAATTGAATAATTTTTTTCGGGCATCCCTGTGATTCGTTTTGCATCTTTACAACTATGCCCAGTGACCCAAGTTCATATTTTAAACCCACTTTTTAAATCTCCCCCTACGAGTTCTCGAAAATCTTCTACGTCGGACCCTGTCTCCCCTGGTTCTCGTCTTTCCCAAGGTTTATTCTTAATCTTCAGGTTTCAAAAAACGTCCCGTGGCCTCCTTGGGGCCGGGTATTACGGGCCTTGCACGGGCCAAATAACGTTATGATTTAAATAAATAGAATTTATTAAGTTTCTTTTTAAACTAAACAATTTCCCCGTCAATACTATAGTTTAATATCTTTTAACAATATTCAATACAATTTTTAAAATTCCCTTGTTTAAAATATTAACAGCTTTTTCACGAAAGTTATATCTAATTTACTATTTTTTATTTGCTGTTGCTAAATGGCAGGGAAAGGGCCCTGCAACAAAAAAACTGTTGCAAGATTTCAATTTTTAATGGGTTATTATGGGTTTGTTGTAAGTTTGGGGAAGTGTTTTCTTTATGTGGGGAACGTTGTTTGTTGTGTTTTTTGTTGTCTGGTGGCCGAGGAAATGTTGGTTGATTTAATATATTGTTGTGTTGTTTGGGTTTGGGGTTGTAAGTTAAATTTGGGGGGGTGTGTTGGTAATTGTTGTTGTTATGTTGGTATGTGTTTGGGAATGTTGTTGTTATGTTGGTATGTGTTGGGAAGTTGTTTTTATGTTGGTATGGTTGGTAATGTTGTTGTTTTGTTGGGATGTGTGGTAATGTTTTGTTATGTTGGTAGTGTTGGTAAGTTGTTGTTAAAAGTTGGTTGTGTTGGGAATGTTTGAAAGTTTGGGATGTGTTGGTAATGTTGTTGGGATGTTGGATGTGTTGGTAATGTTGTTGTTATGTTGGTATGTGTGGTTAAAGTTGTTGTTATGTTGGAGTGTTTTGGGAAAAGTTGTTTTTGTTTTTTGGTATGTTTGGGTAATTTGTTGAATGTTTGGTTTTAAAAGTTGTGTAATTTGGTTGGTTGGGAAATTTTTTGTAAAGTTGGTATTGTTGGTAAGTTGTTGATTGTTGGTTGTGTTGGGATGTTGTTGTTTGTTGGATTGTTTGGTAATGTTTTGTTGTTTGGTATGTGTTGGTAATGTTTTTGTAATGTTGGATGTGTTGGTAAAATTTTTGTAAAGTTGGGTATGTGTTGGTAATTTTTTGTTGTAAAATTTGTATGTGTTGGTAAATGTTTTTTTGTAATGTTGGGGTTTAAAATTTTTTTAATGTTGGTTGTGTTGGAAAGTTTTTTGTAATGTTGGTTTTTGTTGGTTTAAAAGTTGTTGTAAAGTTGGTATGTGTTGGTAAAAATTGTTTTTAAAGTTTGGAAAAAGTGGGTATGTGTTGGGAAATTTTGGGTTTTGTAAGTTTTTGGTTTGGTTTTTGGAAATGTTGTTGTAAAGTTTGGGATTTTTGGGTTTTTTTAATGTTTGGATGTGTTTGGAAAGTTTTTGTAAATTTTTATGTGTTGGAAAATGTTTTTGTAAATTGTTTTTTTAATGTTGTTGTAATGTTGGATTTTTGGAAATTTTTTTAATTTGGTATTTTTAAATTTTTTAAGGGGTTTTTTTGGGGTAATTTTTTTTTGGGTTTTTTTGGGGAAATTTTTAAAAGTTATTTAGTTTTGTAATTTTAGTTTTAAAATTTTTTAAAAGGGGGGTTTTTAAATTTTTTAATTTTATTTTTAAGTTGTGTATTTTATTTAAATTTTTTAAATTTTTATTTAAAAAAAATTTTTTTTGGGGTAGGGGAAATTTTTTTGGGATTTTAAAAAATTTTTTTAAAGGGGTTTTGGGTTTAAATTTTTTTGGAGGTTTTTTGGAAAGGGTTTTAAATTTATTTTGGGTTAAATTTGAATTTTTATTTTTAAAAAGGGTTTTTAATGTTGGATGGGGAAATTTGGAATTTAGGGGTAATTTTTGTTTTGGGGTAGGGGGGTTTTTTTTTTTTATTTTTGGTTTTTTTGTAAGTTTTTTAAAGTAATTTATTTTAAATTTTTTAATTTATTTTTAAGTTTTTAAATTTTATTTTTGGGTAAGTTGTTGTAATTTTTTTTTAAAAAAAATTTTTGTAATTTTTTTGTTTGGGGTAATTGTTAAAATTTTTTTGGGGAATTTTTGAAAATTTTGTTTTTTTTTAATTTTGGGAAAATTTTTTTTTTTTAATTTTTTTTTAAAATTTTTTTTTTTTTAAGTTTTTTTTTTAAAATTTTGGGAATTTTTTAAAATTTTATTTTTGGGTAAATTTTTTTTTTAGGTTTTAAAGTTTTTTTTTTTAGGTTAATTTTTTAAATTTTGGTTTTTGGGGGTTTAAGTTTTTATGTTTTTTTTAAATTTTGGTAAAAAAATTTTTTAATTTTTTTTTTGTTTATTTTTAAATTTTTGTTGTTTTGGGTATTTTTAATTTTTTTAATGGGTGGGGGTAATTTTTGAATTTTATTTAATTTTTTAATTTCTTTTTTAAAAAAAGGGTTAATAAATATAAAATTGGCATTTGTTACAAAGTTTTTACACTGCGTACTATTTAAAGCACTGTAGTTACTATTTAGCATGTAGTACTATATTAGCACTGTTTTAATGACTATATTACACTGTAGAAACTAGATTTAGCATGTATTACTAGTATTAGCACTGTAGTTAACTAGTTAGCACTGTAGTAATTAGTATTAGCACTGTAGTAACTAAAATTATCACTATAGTAACTAGTATTAGCTCTGTAGTTACTAGTATTAGCACTGTATTAACCAGAATTAGCGTTGTAGTAACTAGTGAGAGCACTGTAGTAACTAGAATTAGCACTGTAGTAACTAGTGAGAGCACTGTAGTAACTAGTTAGAGCACTGCAGTAACTAGAATTAGCACTGTAGTACCTGTATTAGCTCTGTAGTAACTAGTATTAGCACTGTAGTAACTGGAATTAGCACTGTAGTTACTAGTATTAGCGCTGTAGTATCTAGAATTAGCACTTTAGTAACTAGTGTTAGCACTGTTGTAACTAATGAGAGCACGGTAGTAATTAATAGTAATAGTGTAGAAATTAATACAACTAATATTGTCACTGTAGAAACTAGTACTGGCACTGTGCTAACTAGTATCCTCACTATCGAAACTAGTATTGGCGCTACTAAGTAGTACTCTCACTGTGACAGCTAGTATTGGCACTCTACTAACCTGTATGGCACTGAAGTAACTGTGTTCTCACTGAACTATTCTAAGTACTACTAATTCTATGGTAATTAGTATTCTTACAGTACTAATTTGTAATGACCCTAGTAACTAGTACAGTCACTGAAGTAACTAGAATTGGCACTGTAATAACTAATATTGGCACTGAACTAGTATTGACACTGTAGTAACTATTATTTTTCACTGAAATAAATAGTATCATCACTCTAGTAACTAGTATTGGCCCTGTAGTACCTAGTACTGACACTACAAGAGTAATGACACTGTGGTAACTAGAATTGGCACTAATGTTGGCACTGTAATAACTAATGTTGGCACTGAATTAGAATTGTCACTATAGTAACTAGTAACGACACTGCACTAAATAATATTTGCAATGTAGTTACTAGTAATAGCACAGTTATGTGTTACTGGCACTGCAGTAACTAATATTATCGCTCTATTAACAAATATTATCGCTGTAGTAACTAGTAGTGCCACTGTTATAACTAGTATTGATACACTAGTAACTATTATTAGTACTGTTATAACTATTATTGGCTAGTAACCAGTATTGCCACCGTAGTAACTAGTGCTGTTACTGCTGTTAACTAGTAACTGATATTGCCACTTAAAACTAGTATCTAACATTAACACTAGTAGCTAGCATAA